GGAATTAAATGATCCGCGGTATTAAAAGCTACGTTATGTTCAGCAAAAAATGCTGCTAATTTTATTTCGGCGCGTTTAACTTTATCTTTGTGTGAAAAAATATATTTACTATTTTGTGTAGTTTTCTCATGTAAATTTTGAGAAAATGCTTTTTCTATATGTAAGACCGATTGCGAATGCTCAATTAATCGCGTTTTATTGCACGTGATAGTTTTATTGCACATAGTGCATAATGCCTTNTTATCTGTAGGATGGGGAGCTAACCATCCTTTAAATATATTTTCCTCTAGCCATGATGTCTGGAATTTTCTAACTCTATTCGACTTCACAGCTCCTTTTTTATCCATGTTTTTAATAAAGTTTTTAAAATCTATTAATATACTAATATATTAATATATATAATATTTTAATATACTTATCTATACTTAACCTATTACCCCATCGCCTATCTGCCGGCCGCCTCCCGCCAAAACTACCGCGCATCTTCATAGATACGTTACTGGATTCTCTCGGATTTCGTCGCGCATGCGCGTACAGCCTCTCCAATATCGGAACACTGCCTTAAGCCCCTTGCACAATGGAAGGAATAGCGATAGCGATAGAAATAACACAGTTTTTAACACAGAATTCCAACTCGTCGGAAATTTTATCGCTATTGCTTATTCCGATTTTCTGATCTGCATTGATACATGTGTAGTTTTGTATGTTAGATTCCGCTGTTCCTACCTTTATTTTTAAATATAAACTCTTTAAAACTTGTTATTTCTATCGCTATCGCTATTCCGTCCATTGTGCAAGAGGCTTTATACCAAGCGGGCTTGGTAGAAAGAAGACGGAACATAATATGTCCGCGTTGTTCCACGAGCCGAAGTGCCGAGCGTGACATCACGCACACGGACGGCGGGTCTCGCTTGTGTGCGTGTTTCCAGTGGCTCTCACCATTTCAGTGCTCTTGATGCTGACCGGTCAAATCTTTTAACATTGCTTGACGAGACTACTTTGTTTATGTTTTTCTCGTTCGTGTTGTAAGCGTGTAGGCAGGAGGGCTTCGCCCCTCTCCTTGCACCCCTCTCAAAAAACCATTTATACACTCTCAACATGAAGCGACAATTAAACAAAAGTTTCTCTTCATTTTTTCTCCAAGGGAGTGCAGAGGGAGGGCCATTCTCCTTGCGGGGGAGCAAAGCCCCCTGCCTACACGCTTAAGGTAGTTATTGAGCCTCAGTGGAGCTCATCCACTTGTACTTGTGGCGTACCAACAAGTGTAGAAAGTAAAGAAAAAATTGAGCACCACTGACACGCACACACAGAGTTCAGCATATATGTGCACACATACACATGTATGTGTACACATACATAAAAGGTATTATGTGTGAAAGGATGGATAATGGAAAGCCAAGAGTTACTAATCACAAACCTACTTTAAATACAATTATTTCTAGTGTCAAAGCTTTAATCAATAAAAATAATACTTACTTGATCTTTTGTAAAAAAAAATATGTATTGATTATCCTAACCTTCTATTTATCATGTTTTATCAATATTATTTGTAACTAACAAGATATTTAATTTATTTTTAATTCATCAAAATATTTGTTTTTATAGTATTATAATC